TTCCTAAACACAAGGATATTTAGACCAGCCAGCAAAGTCTCAGAATTTAAAAAAAAAAAAAAATCAGAATGTTAGTGGTGTACGGAAACCTAAGAGATAACCTTAGTCTAATAATCTCATTTCACAGAAGAGACTGAGAGTCAAAGTGGTAGAACTCACCCAGAATAACCTAGCAAAATTATGACGGAGCCAAAGCTACTGGTTTTCCAATCTATTTCTTGTAGACACACACACACACACACACACACACACACACACACAGCCTTTGGGACTATGGATATAATTCTCTTTTTCTGAACACACCAGACATTCTACAAGGTACTGTAGAAGTTTCCAGGATTTCCACTTATGATGGCTAAATTGGAATGTTATGACATCTGCCCTATTTTTCAGGCAATTTCTCAACACAAAAACCAATGCCAATTAATCAGCATGTAGCACATTTAACTGAAGAGCAGTTGTGATCTTGAAGCTTAACTATATGAGCTGAAAAGGAAGGAGAGACCTTTTCTATTTCAAGAATGTGAGACAAAACAGATTGTGGAATCAGGGTTCCCGTTTTGGCCTTTCTATGAAGCTAGCTGTTTAACTTTAGCCAAGTCTCTCTGAACTTTGGTTCCTTCTTCACCATAAGAAAAGAAGTTGCTTTAGATCAAGGATTTACTCAGGTCCCAGGAAGGGCATTAGGACGTCCAAGAATCTCTAGAATTTAGAGGCTAAATTCAACATTTATATGGCTTTTTCTAAGTTTCATGGGTTTCATCAGATTCTCAGTGGGGTCTGCAATTCCACATTCTAAGGACCTTTGATTTTTAGATAGTTGCTTAGCTTTTCCCCAGTTCTGACAGTCCTTGACTCTACCTTTGCAGAATCCCTGTCTAGTTCATTGCCATTTACATTCATGAAATATACTCATGTGTACACTGTCCAGCTGGATACAAGACAAAATAGGATGAGACAAGATACGAGCCCACTGGGAATGTATTATTATGGCCATCAATTAATGTGGGAGGGCATGGAATCCTTCTGAGACTCATCATTAAACTACAGACCAATGGACTGCACATTCAAGCCTTCCTCAGACTCATTTTTTGGGATGCAAAGTTCATTCCTTCCATACCCTAGCAGAAATTTCAATGAAGAAGTCTACTGTTAATCTGGTACTAATGTACTTGCTATAAACAAAGATATTTTCTGGTCCCTGTCCATATAATGTTCTGTGTATAATTTTTTTAAGGTGTACAGGTCCCATTTGCATTAATGGACAAGAAAACACAAAGGCAAGCTGAGTTAACATAGGGCTCTTCATAATTGTGTCATTCCACAGTCAGAGCAATAATCCTCCAATCTTTCACCTCTCTTGACCTTAAATGTTCCCAAATTCCAATTATCTTAATAAACAGTCCACAGCCTTTAGTCTATCCAAGGTATTGAAAATGGTACATAGATAAAGGAGACATGGCATCTGTCTGCCAGGGTAGGGGGAGAGTAAGAGGGCATCTTTGGTGGAGGAGTTATCAGAGACCAAAAACATAGAAACAGAAAGAAGCATTGGGCATGTGTAGGGCACTGGAAATAATCCAGATTCCCTGCAGAGTTGTCTGGGGTGGGAGGAGAGGAGTTGTGAATGACACTATGGAAAATCTTTGAATGAGAATTGTGTTGATACTCAGTGTTATAAGCAATGGAGATTTCCAAAGGTTTATGGAGGAAGAGAGTGAAATCACAGAAATATAGAAATTTTGAATTAAAGATTGCTTTACCCCTGTTTTAGGGACAAGAGAGGCAAAACAAGAACCCAGAGAGCTTGCCAGATTCCTGAGTCCAAATTCTTTGTATTATACCAGCTGCCTCAAAAGGTCGCTCTGGGAGCAGTGTGTAGGGTGGAGAAGAGGGAGTTTAGGCAGGATCCAATATGGCAGCTATTACAGGAGTCCAAGTGAGAATTTAAAGTGAAATAAAGAGAACCTGAGCATCATGGGAGGGGGGATTGTCAGAGGAGGGGCTGGGACTAGGGGATCCCATGAAATGTCCCTTTTCTCTCCTCCAAGGAGCTCAGAGCATTACTTGTTCATTCACATCAGAGGGGTGTGCCATTTGATTTCATTCACTGGCAGGTCGGGAGCCAACAGGTCCATCCTTGTTCAGCTTCTGAACTCTTAGCCCTCCTGACTCCCCTCCAGTACTGTGCATTCTCTAGAGAAAAGAGGCCAGCAGTGATCATAAGCAGCCCTGGAACTGTTCCTTTAAGGGACCAGTAGATGATTTTAGGATTCAGGCAACTCTGAGGCTTTTCTTTCCGGCTTTGCTATAGAATGGCTTTGCTATAGAGTGCCGGGCTCAAAACCACTTAGCAAATCCGGTTCACCCAGCCCACAGGAGTGCTCCCCTAGGGGTTTCTGACCCATGCAGGAATGTCAGGCATAGAGGGGTCCCTTCCAGTGTTTCTCCCTTCAGAGACCGGTCTCTGGATCACCAGCATCACTTCAGGTCTCTTGCTTTGTCCCCTGTCCAGACCCTTCAGCTCATCAGTTCTGTGACTTCTTACTTTAACCAGGATTTCCGGAGCCTGAGTACATCTGACCAAGAACACAGGTGTGACAAAAGCTGAATAGTAAATGTGAACGGCAAACATCCAGTTCTGCAGAATGCTAAGTCTATAGCCTATGTTTTTTCATTCTACACTGGCCTTTCATTTGCACTAAGTTTTTAAGGACAGAACCAACAAAGGCATCACGAGAGGCGGATTCTATGATAAAGAGAGAATCAACCCCCACAGATTATTCTCTTGCCAGAGGAATGGCCACACATAACAGGCATGCAGTGAAGAGGGGACAGTGAATCAATGACATCTTTCGATGCTTGTCTTATCAGTTCATCTTTCTCATGAATGAAGAGGATGACCATCATAGAGGCCAGTCAGTTGGCCTCACTTTCCACCATAAACAGTGCCCAAACAGTGCTGGTACAGAGCAGGAGTTCAGATATGCTTAGCTTAGTTTTCTCTCCCTTCCCCAGACCCCTCCTTTAGGGCAGATTCACTCTGACATCTCACACTTCATGAAGAGGACTAAACCAGATTTTGCTACAAACAACATCTTCATGTCCTCTGTGACAGAAGGGCCGTATTCACAGCGGCTGGGCAAGCCATCTCTTGAGGCAAACAACCTACATTCAAGTCCCATCTCACTCACGGTGAGCTTACTGCCTGAGGCAACTTCTCTGACCTCTTTACCCCTTTATTTCTTCGTCTGTATAAACTGCGGATAATAACAGTGGGGAGCCAATAGGATTGGCGTGAAGGGTAAATGAGTTAACAAGATGGTGCGGCTCAAGTACTCAGGGTAAGTACTTAAAGAACTCCAGCTGTTTTTAATAAGGGGGCCTCCAAAATTTGGGTCTACTGAACATCTGGTGGCTCACAGCTTGGGGCCAGGGGCCAGTAAAGGTGACAAAGGTGCCATCCAGATACGCCAATTCTGCATTGGAGCAGTATTGCAATTGCAATACTTGGCCAATATCTGAAGGTGCTGACAACACAATGGCTCCCCACCGGCGCTACTTGAGCAATAGTTTAGGCCAATCCACCTTCTTTATTCCTCTAACCTGGGTGATTACTGGCCTAAGGCTAGCTTCCAAAGGCATGCACGTGGTGGCCTCCTCCTCCTCCTCCTTGGTTTGTAAGTTTAAACACAAAAGAGGGACAGAGAACTCTAGTCATGTGGGTCAGGTGGCTTTTAGTGTTTCCACACTTTGGTGGGGGGGGGCGGGGGCGGCTCTAGACGGTCAGGCCCTGTCACACTCCAGGTGTTTCCAGGCTGTCGGAGCTACATGGGGGATTTAAGAACCATCTAATTTGCTTGTGTTGGAGCTAAGGAACCCGAAGCCCTGGGTAGTGAGTAAAGCCGTTGGAGATCACCCAGCTAGTCAGCTCAGAATCAGGACCCGTTCTGTCGCAGGCGGGGTGGGGTGGGGGTGTCTCGGGCGGTGCTGGCTCTAGCAAACCCAGCTGGATCTCAGTGTTGCCCTGAACCCTGGCCCACTTTTCCGACCCGTCCTCAGGGAGCCCCCACCTTCCCTGGTGCACAGTGCGGCTTTTCTTCAGCTCAGCTCTCCTGCCCGCCCCTGGCGCCTCACAACCTCCTGGTCCTCCTGTGGGCTCTTTCCCAACACACATCCTTGATGCCAGCTGCCCTGGCCGGTCCTGCAAACCTGACTGCTTCCAGCCCAAGTGCGGCTGCGCCTTAGGGCCTGTGAGGTTCCAGGAGGCCAGTCCCGCCCGGGTGATATCCAGATGGACACCGGGAAAGCTCCTCTTTCGCCCCAGAACCTGTTCCTCTCTGTTCTTCTCTTCCACTCCATTTGTCTCTGCCTTCCTGACTCTCTGCTGCTCAGTCTCCCTCAGTCTTCCTCCTCCGCTTCCTATTCCCGTTCCCCTCTTTCTCTCTCGCCCCCAGCCCGTCCTCACTGTCCCGTTCCTGGTCCTGCCTGCGCTCTGCCCCTTTCCTTCTCCTCCTTTCGTTCGTCTTCCCGCCCCCGGTCTCTTCCTCCATTCCCTTCCTCTCACCCTTACACACATCTGTTTCTAATCTGAGCCCTCGAGGCGCCCGTTTGAAACAAAAAAGCTCCCCCCACCCTCAGGAACCTGGCACAAAAATTCCCGAATAAACCTTCCTCCCTCCTCCGATCCTCCCGTTTCCCCAGATACTCCTGAAACTGAATACCAGCCCTCCCCCCACCCTCCTCAAACCCTCCGCCTCAGACGGTTCACGGCCAAAGTCCCCCGGGAGACGCCCCCCGCCCCCCCACCCCCACGCCCCCACCCCGGCCCGGAGCCCGCCCCCGGGCCCAGATGTGCGAGAAGCTCGCGATGGCCGACCGCGCGGGCCTCCGCGGCCAGATGTGCGCCTCGGGCGCGGCGAGCGGGGATCCGGCGCCCGCGCCTCCCGGGGGCCGCGGGGACCGCCGCGCGGAGCCGCCCCGCGCTCGCTAGCACTCACCTAGCCAGAGGAGGAGGGGGAGGAGGCTCATCCCGACGCCCCGGGCGCGGGCGCTCCCCCGCTCAGCCGCTGCTGGGCTTCGGGCCGTCCGGGCGCAGCCGACGGACCTTGGGCGAGGCGGGCGCGGCGCCTCGGGGTGCGCGCGGGGCGGCCGCAGCCATGTGCCGGCGCGGGAGCTGTCCCCGCGCCCGGTCCCCGCGCCCCCCGCCGCCCCCCACCCCGGCGCCGAGGGGCAGCTCGCGCCCGGACGGGAGCGGGGGACCAGGGTCGGGGAGGACAGGGCCAGGCGGGAAGACGCTAACCGCTTCCCGAACACTTTTCCCTGTTAGGAAAGAAAAAGAAGTGAAGAAAGAGCGAGAGGGGGAAGAAGAAGAAGAAAAAAAAAAGAGTGAGCTGGAACCACATGGTCGCCTCCCACCGGCAGCCCCTCCCTCGCCCCCCCCCCACCCCCTGCGCCCGCCCTCGCAGCGCCTGGCCAGCCGCCGGGCCGGGAGGGCAGGGGGCCGGGCCGCACCGACCCGCGGGGGACCGGGCTGAGGCCTGGCCGGGCTTCTCGGGCTCCGTTCTCACTTTGTGCCTCTCTCCACTTCTCTCTTGCATCTCGTTTTCTCGCCCCCACTCACCCTCTCTGCTTCCACCTCGCTCCCTCATCTGCCCTCCCTCCCGCCACCATCTCCTCTCTCTGTCTCTCTCTGTGTCTCCCCCCGTCCCCCCCATTTCTCTCCCATTTACATTCTTCTGGCTGCTCCCCTCTCACCTCCTCCCTCCTCTCCCTTCTTCCCTAGCTCCTTCTCTCCTCTGCTCGACTCTCCCTGCCTGGTTGTGTCATAGGAAACCACAGGCTGGCTGTAAGGAGGGTTAGGCGTGGAAGGGACGAGGCGGTCCAGCAGCCCTCGCTTGTGGCTCTGGGGCCCCCCTGCCTGCTTGGGAACCCCGGCCACCCTTTGCCTGGCCCTCCCTCCGCCTTCTGCATTCGTGCTCTCTCCTCTCTCCTCTCTCTCTCTCTCTCTCTCTCTCTCTCTCTCTCTCTCTCTGCTGTTAGTATTTACAGCAGCCCATCCTCAGATCCAGATCCCTGCGGAGCTGAGCTGGCCTTCAACCCCGGGGAGTGGGCCGTCCAGAACTCCGTGGAACCGACCCACTAGGAAGCACTACACGTGGCTCTGGCCCAAATACGCATCACTCGATTTCAGAAAGAAAAGGCAGCAGGCATGGAATTCCTTTCTCTCCAGGGTCACCCTCCTGGGCCCCAGGGACCCGGCCTGCCCTCCAGTGGCAGCCTTGGTGGGGGCTGGCCTGAGGGAGGGAGGAGGTCTTCTGTGCACTCCAGGGCGAGGCTCCCAGGGGTCTGCCCTCGAGGACCCTGCAAATAGCTCCAAGGCTGGAGGACACTAGAGAAGGAAAGGGCACTAGTGACCACACTCAGGTCTCCACACCCAGTCCTGGGCTCTGAGAAACCATTGACCTGCACTCTCTGGTCCCTGGACTCTGGATGTCCCTGGAGCAGTGACTTCTCTTTCAACCACATTGAGGCATAAGGACCGGCTCACCTTAAGCCTCCCCGGTGTCTGTAATTGAGAGCTGGGGCCTCGCTCTGAGAAGCTGGGGATGCTGCAAAAGAGATGAGATCCTCCAGGCCGAATAGGCCTCCTGATCACACACTAGCCCCATTTTTCCAGTCCCCTCTCTGCGAGTCTTAGATCCCAGGATCTGAATAGTACTCTCTAGTCTTCCTGGTCCTCAGGAAAACCAACCCATTTCATAGGTGGAGGAAAACAGAGGCTTGGAGAGGTATGGGACTCTCATCAGGTTGCTCAGAAGGGATGGCAAAAGCAGGGGCTCTTGTGGTGGCTTTGAGACCAGGTGTAAGTTGCTTTAGAATTCCAACATTTATTCATTTCATCCCTGCTTCTTCCATAACTATTTATTATGCATCTATTCTGCACCAGGTGCTTTTTTTAAGATGACACAAAGCGAATAGAACTTGGTTATTGACATTTTCTTCAATATTTGGAACTAATATGTCAGGGCACCAACTACAGACCAGGAATTATGTTAATTATTTAACATTTGTCTCTGTATTTAATTTTTTTGGATTTTTTTTATTTTTGACAGAGCTCAAATGGAGAAAGGACAGAGAGAGAAGGAGACACAGAATCTAAAGCAGGCTCTGGGCTCCGAGCTGTCAGCACAGACCCTGACACAGGGCTTGAACCCACAAACCACGAGACCATGACCTGAGCCAAAGTCAAACACTCAACTGACTGAGCCACCCAGGCACCCCTTCTTTTAATTCTTGTAGCAATGCTAGGGGATAGGCATTAAAAAAATGTTTATTTTTGAGAGAGAGAGCAAGTCTGAGTGGGGAAGAGGGAGAGAGAGAGAGAGAGAGAGAGAGAGAATCCCAAGCAGGTTCCACACCATCAGTGCAGAGCTCCAGAGGGACTTGATCTCACGAATGAGATTATGACCTGAGAGGAAGTGAAGAGTTGGACACTTAACCAACTGAGCCACCTAGGTGCCAGGAATAGGCATTTTAAATTCCATTTTAATGATGAGGAAACCATAAACTAGCGAGATTAATATCATGCCTCAAAACACAAAACATTAAAACCCCTCTCTTCTATTGACATTCTAGTTTAATATTCTAAAATATTGTTATGTTATATTATAAAAGATTTAAAAGCTCTCTGACTCTGAGTATTTTTACTTTCCATTTTATACTTCTTCAGTAGGAGAAATCGAAATATTCACAACTATAATTCATACGTGAATGTGTCGAAAAAGGTTTATTCTTAAAGGCTAACAAAGGTGGGAGGGAAGGTGAAGCGTCCTTATTTCTGCTTTAAAATTTTAGTATTTTGAATAATTTCAGACTTACAGAAAAATTGCAAAAATGGTACAAAGAATTCTTGGGTCCCCTTCACCCAGATTCCTCCTTTTATTTCTTTCTAAGGGAAAGAAATTTTTGCAACAGTTTTAAAGCCCCATCTCTAATCCCCCCACCACGGTGGCCTTTCTCCTGAACTTTGTGACACCATTTTTTTGCTTAAGGGCTGGTGTGCACAGGAGAACAGATGTGGGTGGGTGTAAGCATGCGTGTCTTTAAACCTGCATTGCTCAAGCAGAAAGGTAACAAGACTTCACTCCAAGACATTAGTCATCAGCATAGGAAATGGGTTGCCTCAGCTGAGATTAGGTCATAAACACTCAGTTTTCCCAGGTCCAAAGTCTTACAACCAGTAGATATTTGTCATATGTTCCTTGGAAAGAGGCTTTGTGCCCCGAAGATAACTGTCCCTTTATCTGAAGACTTTTGTCTCCTATCCGCATCTGTGGGGCAGAAGTGGACAGTGCCTTGGGCTGGTTCCTAACTCAGCAGCCCATCACCTACCTATGCTCTGTCCCACACTGACCCAGCTGGGTGCCATGGGAATCGAAAGATGTATGTGGCAATCCTTACCCTAAATGGACCTCTCCGTCCAGTGGGAAAGGAAAAGTCAACATGTGAACTGTTTCAACAACAATACGAGAAAGTTATGTCGTTAAGTGCCTGAATAAATGATCCTGTCAGGAAGAAACACTGGGCGTTCCAAGAAAGGAGGGAGCACTTGTAGGCTGGGTGGTGGCAAAGTTTTCTTGGGTGAATAACACTCGAGTCAAGCCTTGGAGGATGAAGAGAAGAGAATTTCGTTACAACACCTGAGGAGGACCACTAGGGTGCATTTCTAGACAATGGTGTAGACGTATAGTTTGGTGTTTTCAGGGGGCATTGAATGAAATGAAATAAATGAAATGAGAACCTGGTGGACAGGCAAAATCTCTTAGAATGGAAAGCCTGAAGCCAAAATGGTGGAGACCTGAATGTGAGGTGAAAGATTCTGGAAACTATTCTGCAGCTTCTCCAGACTCATTGCAAAAAAATTTAGCAGAGGGGACCTTGATGAGAACCATGTTTTAGGAAATAGAAATTGGCAGCTTTTGCTCAGAGGTGATCCCAATGGTGGGCCAAGGTTGGAGGTGTTTCACACCCCTTTCATATCCATAGGGCTCCCTCTCCCCATGCTTTATGATGACAGTTAACATTTTATCAGTATTTTCTCTCTCTCTCCCTCTTTTTTAATGTTCAGTTATTTATTTTGAGAGAGAGGGGGAGGGAGTGGGGAAGGGTCAGAGAGAGGGAGAGACACTCCCAATCCACGCTGTCAGCATAGACTAAATCCACGAATCCAAGAAACGTGAGATCATGACCTGAGCTGGATAGAAGAGTTGGACGCTTAACCAACTGAGCCACCCAGGCGCCCCTCTCAGTATTTTCTAAAGTGATAAGTACACACGCAGCTTCAAGACAAGTCCTTATCCTCCTCACTCAATGAGCACCACCCTACATTTCTTTTGTACAGAAATATTATTTTATTTTTTTAAGGTTATTTACTTATTTTGAGAGAGAGAGAGAGAGAGAGAGAGAATGCATGTGAGAGGGGCAGAGAAAGAGAGAGAGAGAGAATCCCAAGCAGGCTCCGAGTTATCAGTGCCTGACACCAGGCTCAAACGCAGGAACCAAACCATGGGATCATGGCTTGGGGCTGAAATAAAGAGTTGGAGGCTTAATGGACCGAGCCACCCAGGTGCTCCTGTACAGGAATTTTAGAACCACCACATGAAACATTTACACAGGTCATGTGCCTGAAACATTTACACAGGTCATCACCAATGGTCATTGTGGGTAGGAGGGGAGAGGTTGGAAGATGAAAGAAACACCAAAAATAAGTATAAGTGATCTCATATATTGTTATATATGGTAAGATTAATAGCATTTATTTATTGACCTCCTAGTAAATTCCAGGGCTTAGAAACATCATCAATAACCCCCACAATACGATATTACAATGAGGAAATTAAGGTTCAGAGAGATTAAATCAGTTGCTTATTGTTCCATGTAAGCGACTGAGGCAGGACGTAAAGTCAGAAGAGTGAAAGCCCTTATACCTCACTGTCTTTTGATGATACCACTAACACATGAAGGAAGTCAAGTAAGTTAACTTGTCAGGAAAGGAAAGATACATTTGAGACATGGTAACTTTAAGTGGATGGCAAACCATCATTTATCTATCCATCCATCCATCCACCTACCCATTCACCCATCCATCTATCCATCTACCCATCTATCCATCCATCTATCCATTCATCCACTGTCCATCTATCCATCCATTTTTTCTATTTTTTCTTTCAATCAGTAATTCAGTAAATTATTGAGTACCTACTATGTGCTAAGCACTGGGAAATCCATGGTGAACAAAGAAAAGGTTGCCCTTGCCCTCCTCCAGATGTTTATGGTGAGTTAAGGAGGATGGATAATAAGCAGTCAGGGTA